TCTGAAGTGGATAATACTTTATGTTATGATGACTTCTTGAAACCGCTTTGTATCACATGTATTTCTTGAAATGAAATTTATCGCTGTTTAGTAGTCTTCCGTTTTCCACTGACGTGCAAACCAATGGCTTTTCAGATGCCTCCTTTGGTAAATAGTCTAGAAAATCTAATTCTGGAGGTTAATTAGGTTATAATGAAAAAAATTGACAATTGTTTCTTTTTTCAGGTGAGTACGGCACATTGTAGATCCAAACCGAGTTGGTGAGTATACAATGCAATCAAGTTCAGTTAAAGTATCATACCTTAGATTCGTGCTTTATCTGCTTTTGCGGATTTTTTTTTATCTATTATTGAATCATCAAAGAAGTTATGTATGTATAAAGCTGCTGAAGCATGTCAATAGTGACTTTTTAATACCTAAGCTACCAAAAATGTCTTAAGGCTTGAATTCTTGTATATACAGTGACTTTGTAGAGTAATTCAGTGGAGGGGAAAAGTCATGCACTCTCAAATGGAAAAATGTGTATAAGCAACACACACACATTCTTGGCACAGGAATGAGGTGGCTGACTGGCACGTCCATGTTGTTTTCCCGACCTAATACCTGACGTTGTCTGCAAAACTTTGTATAAATCAACGCCGGTATACACGGGTCCTACTCGCCTCCCCCGAAATATGCACTGGTGATTTACTGAATCGAATATCGGTTGGACAGTAGCGGCAATGCACGGTCGGCTGACTTGACCACATGGCCATGAAGTATCTCGTCAAACATTTATTGCCCCCTCCGGCGTCTTTGTCACCTGGACCCACGACGCTGCCGCTTGCCGCCCGACGCTGCCGTCGACGCTCCACGCTCGATGCCGTGCCGTGCGTCGCATATCCCGGGCGATGCTTCCTATATCAACCCCTATATGCATACACAGACGGCAACGCCGCATCTACGCCAACCCCACCCCTCGATGGATGTACCAGGACCGTCCCCGGTTACTCTGATTTTCAGATATATCTTCCGAGTGTTGTTGATTTGATTAACTTTTCAGATCAAATCTCGTGAAGCACAAATTTTTGATTCAAAGTGACAAGCTACGTTGGAGTCATTACCATCGCGGAATATGTCGATTGCTTTGCTTTAACTGCGTTTGTTCAGTAACTGTAAAAGTTGTAAAAAAGCGACAATTTTTTTTCATATGTCGATTGTTTTTGGGGGCAAGTAAAAACTTTTAGGAACATTGGAAAAGCTTCCAAAAATCCTAATATGCACAGAAAAGGTGGTCATCCTTGGCATAGGCAAGCAAGCGTTTTGAAGTTAGGAGTTCAAATTTTATATAGTCCAGGGCGTATCTTTTCACATGGTTGAAAAGATATGATACAGTTCTTTAGATAATCTTATTGAAAAATAATCCCTTCTAACGGTTTCGCTTGTTGTCAGAGTCAAAAATTACTTATTTTTTTCAACAAATTAAAAAAATTGTTTTGTAGTTTCTTTGGTCACGCTAAAGAAAAAATGTTCTATTGAAAACGGGGAAAATATGATACTCCCAACCTTGAAAAGCAAAAACTCTAGCGTTGCTAGTGTTCTCAAATATTCTTTAGAGCATTGTAGGATATATCATTATCATAAACCTGCGTTCTTATTGTCAATCCAGTGCGCGCTCAGTGTGTATGCTGACTCGGCGCAAGAGAGACGCAGGGGCCACCCACACGCAGAATATGATGCATTGAGCCAAAATAATTAAAAAACAAAGGTTTGAAAAAACAATATTCTCCAAAACGCCTTAAGATTATCCTAACAGTTGTTTGTTTATGTTATGTTTACGAACTTTGAAAACATTAAAATTTTCGTTTTCTTTTGTATTGTGTTACGGGGTAGTAAATGGGTTATTCCTCACTTCTTGTAATGTTGAACCACCTTTAAGTCAAAAACTATCGACTTTAGAGAACAATTCGTAAGAACCTTATTTGTTCAGATTGACCCAATAAACTATAAAGATTTTTGTTCGATGCGATAAAATAATACTTCGAATTTATATAAAAAATTATCCAAACAATTTTTAACGCAATTTTGGTCTCAGCAATGTGCAGATTTGTGAAAAGGCGTCCTTTCTTGAAAATTTTATCTTAAATGCCGAATCAGAATATTTTCTCAAATAAATAGTCCTTTTTGGTGAAATGGCCAGAAACCTTAGAAGGATGTTACTGTTTGAAAACAATTGACCATCACTTTGGCCTTGAGATGGTAAAGCAGAACATCTGCATGTTTGAGACCCAACAACAGTTGCAACATAAATACATATGTCTAATAGACACCTTTGGGTTTGCAGCCCAATGAAGAAAATCATACAAAACTTGCAGTATGTGAGAAAATGTAGTATTATAATCATAAACATACTCAAATAGTATGTAACTATAAATCTTTCTTACAGTATTCAATTATAAAGTTATATTATGTAATATGAAAAATGTAATATAACTTAGAATCGCAATACGTATATAAAAAAACTTACTGGCTTGCTTTGCTATCGCTTGACTCAGGTTCACGTCGTCAAAAATTGTGAAATTATGTATAACCAACGTTAAAAAGTTATGAGAATCGACTTTTTGAATCATTTAATTCATATACTGTTTCGTACACTGAGAAAAAGGTTTAATTAAACCAATTAAAGTTTTAATTATATCAGTTAAGCAATTTAATCAATTGGTATATCTAGACTACGATTTCTAAAACAGTTTACTTGAATCTATGGAACTAGTTTATTTATATTAAAACACAGTCGTCTAATTATATTTATTGAACCATTGACTAACATTGAGGACATTAATTTATTCAAAATTAATGAACCATTAAAATGGGGTTACCTGCTCCAAGTAAAACAATTTAATTATATTTATACAATTTGTTTAATTAGGTAAGGTGATTTTCCTCATTTCAATGATTATTCTATTTAGATTTAAAAGTATGTTTGGATAATATTTGAATTTAAAAGAACAAACTGCATCTCATTGAATGATGCATATTATAACTGTGCTCTGACAAATCTTACAAGCTTCAGTTTTCGGATAAAAATGAAAATTACGAATTTAATAGCCTTCAAATAGATTCTAATTTCATAGATTGTGAACTTATTATAAATTGGATCAAGTTTTACCAGTTGTTTGTGTGATTGTCCAGAAACAAATTATAATCTGTCACCATTCGCCAGAAGCAATTCTTCAAATTAGGATATTCTCAAATACTACAAAGTTCCCAGCAACATGAGGCTCCACTTCCTATACAATGTGTTTGGTCACGCCATACTGATATTTGAGGGGGATGTTTTTTAGCTATTTTTATCGTCAAATTCACCCCCTACAATGTTCTACCTGATCCCCCTTGAAATGGATCCATACAGCTGCGAACGAATTTAGGGCTGACACGGATATGGTCTGCCGCTCAACACGACACATTGATTTAAGAACAACAATGTGTATAACCAATAATGGAGGACATTTTGAACAGCTTGTGTAACATTAAATATGCCCAAATTCTCTATAAGAAACATTGATTTGTCATTTTTATGTATAAAAAGTTTGAAAACGATTTGCATCTTACTACACCTATTTTTGACCCATGTTAGGTAGCATCTATTGCTTAACGAAGAATATTTAGCATAACAAACAGCTGTATAATTAGCACAAAGAACGTACAACAGACTACTTTTTGAATGGTGCGCGAAAGTGCACACAATAATCAATTTTCTTCCACATTTTTTTCTGTTTTTGTCTGTTTAAAAGTATCAAAACAAGCTTTTCAGTAATCGTTAGGACAACATGTCATCATTCTGTGACACTTACGTACTCAGTTATTACAATTTTCATACGTGCACTACCGTAATCGTGACGTAAAAATAAAAATGTCTGCCATTTCAAGGGGGATGAGGTAGAACATTGTAGGGGGGTGGATTTGTCGATAAAAGTAGCTGAAAAATACCGCTCATAAAGATCGGTATGTCATGACCAAACACATTGTATAAAATATAAAATGAAAGCACATCAATTCTATGTTAAGCATATTTTGGTATAAATGCCCTTCATTGTCCTGAATGTGGCTGCATAAATTAAATTTCAAAGTTCTGATTCCGTCAGGTTAGTGAGTCTTTCATTGAGAGCGAGAAATATTTTAACCATAGTTATGGTAACTATAAGTACCTTATACTCGAGTGTTTCACTTGATCATCAGAACAGATCCACTTCACAGCTACTAGACCAAGAACGGTAACAGTCGAATATGAGACTCCTCAAAAAAATGACAAATTAAACGTTCGAAGCGAATTCATTCACCGATAAAGTGGCTGCCAAGTCCGCGGTTCGAACAAACAGTTTAACTGTTTTTATAAAAATGTTTACCTGTTTTAAATGTAACCTTTCTACATAAACTAAATCACCTCAACTATTTGAACATTTTAATAAAACAGGTACATGGTTTAGTACTTTCAATTAAGCTGGTTCCAGAAAAATCAGTTTAATTAAACCGAATAATTTAATTACTTAGAACAATTGAAAAATTTATTATGGATAATGAAAATCTTCCAGAACTACTTAGTTAACCACGTTTTGTGAGTTTAGGGTACAATATAACTTGAAAAATACAGTGGCTACCACATGAGACAAATTACGTAGCGATATCTGAAGTTATAAAACTGAGCGCCGTATTCCCGGTAGTGGTCCATCGGGGTCACTCACGCTAGTCTGAATAATCTGTTTGAATATTTGGTGATACTTTCTTGGCATTTTCCTAAGTAACGAAGCTGTATATCAAAGTAAGACATTGCATACAGACTCATGGGCTCACACTTCATCGGAAATTAAAGGAAAACATTATCTTTTTGAACATCCCCATTTCGTCAGAACTTTAAAAAAGCTCGCGTTAGCCTTAGAGTTTCAGATTTCTCTCCAGGCTGTTTCATCCCCAAGTTGTTGGATCCTGATTCCAGCTCTGTCACATTCAGCGCACCCCCTCCAATGCCGTATCGGGGCGCAGTCTCCGCAAGCTTCGTTCCACCATCGACGTCCTCCGTTCTCCGACCGCCACCCTCAAACAAACTGTTGAACGCTGTTCTGGAGAGGTTGTCGCGACCGGTGCTGCCCGTCCGCGTTCATCCGCTCTTACTGCGGATCCCGATTTTGCTTACTGCTGACAGCTTGCTTACGCTTGCTGATTCTTGCGTGTCGCCGGGGGATCGTTGGCCGCGAGCGCGCTGTGATTTGTGCGTGTGGTTCGTTCAGGTGGCTGTGAGTGTTTGGGTCGTGGACTGGTTGCGGTACAGTAGGACACTTCACTTCACTTCACGAAATTGTTGAGGTCCAAAGCTAACAAAACGCCAACGGATAGTTTTCCGAATCCTGTTCTCTTTTACGTGTGATTTTATCTCCTTTCCATTCTTCTACCCCAAACAAGGCTGTCAAACTTACCAAGCGCATTTTTTCTCAAAGGAGCGTTTGTATTTCAATGACGGGTCGAACTTATGTTTAGCGCCATCAAAATATCTCGTGCGGGTGTATGCAGGGAAAGCTTCGAAACTATGCTGTCCAACCTACCATTTTGTTGAGCACGTTTATAACCCTCAACAACTATATAAATGATAAGTGATAATTCCTTATGCTGACACTGTTTTTCCTTCCACCATTATCTTACTTTTTCAATCCATCTGACCTGTAAAATATGCGCAGCGATATAGCTACGTGAGCTTTCAGCGCTCTAAAATTGTCATAATGCAAATATAACACCTGTAAAGATCTAATACCAGGTATAATTATTTTGTTCAGCAAAGGTACCATATCCCAAAACTATTAACAAGTCAAATCGCAGTATATGAAGCTGACATCTTTTCCTTCTTTTCTTTCACCGATGAGAAGTCCTGCAGAGTAGAATAGAGCTCTAAAACTGTCATTATTGTAAAAGAAGACATTACATACAGACATTGACAAGATGACAGGTAAACCCACCATGTGATTAATCAGTCTGGTAAGATGGGGCTTTTCCAACCCTTTTACACAAACGCGCCACGCTATTGGGTAAATTCAATCATTTAATCCGTCTTCACTGTGTGCAAATGATGAAACTGACGTGTCTAACACAACGCTTAAGTAATACTTTATATATTGCATATTACCTTGACCTGTAAAGGAGCCGCTTCAACGGGGTTCTCGGGTTGCTATCAAAGTGGCAAAGCCCAAATCCTGAAATTGACTTTTCCCTCTTTGTATCTTTGACGTTAAATTTTTCAATTCCTCCATTCGGTGAAATAATAATAAGATCAAAGCTAAGTAAGCAGTAATGTCAATCTCTGAAATGGTATTATTCTTAAAAAAAGGCAAATCGTAGCTTTTGGAAAGCCAAAAAGTATTTTCTTGAATACACATCTTCTTAATTCCATTTACTTTCTGCTTTACGGTCTTGTTTCCTAAAATAAATACTTCAATACTCAAAAGCATACTTTGTAAGTGAATGTTCAATGACTCAAGGATGTGTCTCTAAAAAAATCTATACAAACCTGCTGAATTTTTGTGAAAGGCGTATTTAAGTGGGATAATGTACCAGTTTTTTCTTTGTACTTTTGCTGTCCGAAAGGGTAATCAATAATAATTCACATAAAGTGATTAGAGCTTGCATCGATCTATGCTCTCTATGCACTCTACTAACATGTAGAAGCCATCTTTCTTGTTGACGGGCTTTTACCTCTGCGATTGTACCTGTAGGATATATTTGCCGTTCTTTATAATTGTAACTACTCGTACATCATGATTTTGAGGAAAAGCAGCTCTAAAATCTATAGTTCTGCCTTTTTTTACATATCTATAAGGTTCAACAATTGAAAGCTATCACTATGCTAAAGATCAATTTCTGAATCTTTTACTTATTTCTTTGAATGGTCACATCAACTTTCAATCTATCACGATACTCGAACTAGCTCCGTTTTTTAAGCTTTAAAAGTGCTGAACTGTTATCCCTTGAAAAGATACATGGTTGCTGTTCTGCCGAATTAGTTCACAATCTTCCATCACTACCACTAGCAGTAAAAAGCTGCCCAGAAATGCTAAGCTTTTGGGCACGCTTAATCGCTTTGAGACCATTGCTAAAGCAAGGAGTGGAAGTGGGCTTCTTCCTCATCGTCCCGCAACTCATAGCAGTTCTGGAAATTTGGGGCTCTTTAATCTTTCTAACCAATGTTCACGTATGGAACATGTAAGCTATCTGCTTTACTATTACAGCCCCATGAGTAATATTCAAATTACACCTCAACTATCTTAATTTGAGTGACACGATAATTATGCTACTAACCGCGTTCATCTGAACGGGTCCCAAGGCGATCCTTTGATGTGTTGTCCCGTGATACACTGTTTGCTTGGAATTTACATAATGCTTGCTCAGTATTTGCTGTAAGTCTAGTTTTCACAAACGCAAGATATATGGGTGAATATCAGGTATTTGGGTTTTTAGTGGTATCCAAGAAAAATTACTTATTTCAGTTTCATATTCATTACCTCTTAAGATTATACTATTTGTGATGCATCTTTTACAGGACCAGATAGTTTTTTGATTTTTAGAGTTTTTACAGCTACCAGGGTAAAATGTGTAGTCAGGGGAGTGCCACTATACACTGGGTAGTGACAAACTGAGACAGAAGAGTAACAACTTTTCATATGAATGATCTAAAAGGACACTTTATAAAAGAATATAAATACCAACATGTAAATAAGTTCAATAGTTTTTTATTGAAAATAACAAAATCCTACATGTTCCATTAGTCTCTTAAATAATAACATTTGGATCAACGGAGCGAACCCTGCTCACACAAGAACTAATATAAATAAAAACCACTATTGCTGTTTATATCTTGCAACTTAATCTAGATGGCAATGTAGGTACTTGAGTAATAATAATAATAGAAATAAAACTAAACTTGGTTACTTCTCAAAAATGGCAGTCTTCTGAACACAGTAACTATTACATAAACCATTCATTATAAAAACTTAAAAAAATACCTATGGTCAGTCTTTGAATCGAAATCAGTGCTTATAAATAAAAAACTATAGCTAGCATAAAAATAAAATTAACATAGGTATAACTCGATTTTTTATGAAGTTGAGTAGATACTCATTTTTCGAATACAGGTATAGGAGTTCTGAATTTATAAAATAATCTATTTCCTCTCATTACTATATTTGGCACCGGCTGTCTTTCTAATACTTGTTCCAACTTTACGTCGCAAATGCCATGCGATCGCAGCATAAGTAATTTAGCATTGCTTCAAAACTAATAAAGTCTATAATTTACGTTCTTCTTAAAGAGAGCAAAATCAACTCCATATTTGCATGAGTTACACACAAGCATGTTTCTCTTCTATGAACGTTTGGATATACAATCCAAAAAGGTCTTAAATGACACAATGAGGTATAACTTATCTGCATTGAGTCTAGTAAAACCATCTTTTGTTTTTTTACTTTGTTTTTCGTAATGCAGTCATTTTTTCATGCTCATAAGCGACTGTTGCAGTCTTCTTCGAAAAACTTTTTAATTACGTTCTTTATCTTCTCTCTAGTTTCATTCATTCTTGTCCACCTTGTTACGTCTAGCAAACTTCTTCCCTCAGTGGGTAATCGTTTCACAGGCTTCATATCAGTTTGGCTTAAAACATTGTACTTTTTAACAAACCTACCACTCAATACTTTACGAAACAGTATCTTCTCATTTTTCTATTTGGTATGCCTTATATTTTCTTTTAGTTGATTTTGAACCACCTCACTGAATAACAGATGCTTTTTAACTTCTTCCACGTTCTCCTGATTACTTGGTTTCGTTTTTTTTTTCTTTGGTAATCGGTCCACTTTCGACTTTTGTGACATTTTTAGACTTCTTACGTGATCTAGTTTCCTTTGAAATCTCTTCTATCTTTTTTAATCGATCAATTTCGTTTTTTGTTTTTTGATAAGCTCACTTCTCCATTTCCTCTGTTTTTCTGAGGGTCTTTTGGCACCTGAAGCTCTATTGTCCAACATTTGAGGATCGAAGTGTGGATCTTCATGGTCCGAAGGCGGTGGTGACTCTGTATAATTAACAATAGTATTTTGCCTCACATGATCCCTATATCTTTCAGTTTTCTCTCTCCATATCTTTCTCACAGCTCGCTCTTCCCTGTCAGACCTTTTATACTTCTAAATTGTCCTTTCTCCTTCTTTCTGTCATACTTCTCTTTTTCTTTTAACTCAGCATTCTTGATTGGATCATTTTTAATTCGCTGGTTGCGTAGTCTTTCTGCTTGCAGTTTTTTCTCCAACCTTTCCTCTCGGGTTTGTTTTTTTTTAATTTTGCCATTTTAACGAGTTGTGGTTTTTTGTATATCTGAAATTAATGAAATAGTGTTTATACCACATTAAACTTCAAGAGGCAGTAAGCAGGCCGCTCAGAGCCGTAAACTGGGCAAGGCAACTTCTTAGGTGCGGCCCACTGATTGATGTAACAGATTGGTATGAACACTGACAATGAGCGCTTGAGCACTAAATACGCCACTTGGCGTCTGGCCCAGCCCTTCATGTCTGACCTATTTCAGATCTACTAACCCTTGAAGTTGAATTTGGTACAGTAGCTACACATCTTATACAAAAAGGTGCCTTTGTATTTCCCCTGGGCAGTGTGTATTTCCCCTGGCATAAAAACTGCCAGGGGAGTGACGCCAGGGAAGTGACAAAAACGTGCGTAAGCCCCAAAAAAAAGCGAGATATGCTGGTTATTATATTATTTTAGCGTGATTCATGGCTTTTGTATTCAAAAATCTTAATTTTTTATAAAGTCGCAAAAAAGTAACTTTTAAATTAACAAAGATATACTTACCAGGGAAAAGCTTCACTCACTGGCAAAAGGGTATCGGACGACTGTTAGTGGGCACCTGCCGCGTCTCTGGCTTTCGTTTTCCAAATTACGATAGTTTCGCACTATCCCTTCTTCATTTGCTACTTGTTGCTCAAGGTCAAGTCGCATAGTTGGCATATTTTGATGAATATATGCAATTTGAATTGCGCCAGGTGAGGGTGACACTGTTCTCAGGAACCACTAATAAACGGGATTTTTTACGCATTTATGTATATTTTTAGTATGTCTTTTTGCGAAAATATGTTATCAGATATGTTAGGTAATACAAAGAGTATCCGTTTATTGGTATACCAGTATACAGAGATTTGTTGATGTTTGTAGTGAAATTTGGAAATGGAACATGTCAGGGGAGTATACATTTTGTTAGCTTTCAATCAGATTTTTCCTAAATCTTAATGGTTACCTCAATTTCGCCATATGTTCCAACTAAAGATTGATATCTTCGACTATTTGGATGGTCTATTTCCACAATTTGTCCACTGGATTAAGATTTTTTTGCAGGAACAGTGAATTCCCCAATAACTGATATTCACCCATATAGCGTCGGAGAAACACTCCATGGATGAAGGTGTTTCTCCTAATCTTCTTCGATTTTACGTTAGTCTATAATTACTTACCCTTTGTCCATTAGTTGATACTGCACTTTTCCATTCCAGATAAACTTGTTTGTAGCTGTAATGCTAATGCAGTTATTTGCTGGGTGCACGATGACAGCGCCAAATAGTGAATGTTGGACAGAAAAGTTGCTTGGTGTAATTTAAAAATTATGGATAACAATGACTATTTCCCTTGTCTTAATAAAAACAGTAATGTTGTGCCAAATAGGCGTCAGTAAAATGTCGCTCTTCATTGAGATTCAGCATGTTAAGTTCAATTTTTTCAATCGATTGTTCAAGCCGTATTCATGGTGTCGACAGAAAAACTGGAATTCGGAGTTTTTGATAAAATTCAATCCTATTTTTTGATATAGCATATATAAAAGACGTTAGTTACAGACTATAACCGCTATAACTTTTTTGTCTGAACCGTTCCATTACTGTTTATTGAAAATTACGGTAGAGTGATAATTACTAAGTAAATCGTATGGCATTATCGAGCAACACTATGCGGAAACAAAGGCTCTAGTCGAAACTACATATGGAAATTGCCTCCAAAGGTATCCAAATACCTGGTTCAGCTAAAAATTTTACGAAAATATTTTTTAAGGTGAACAATTTTGCTTGAAAAAAAATTCAAAGCTGCATTGTTACAATGTACATAAGTGTGGTTTTTCATAGATTGGTTTGAAAAAAATTGTTTTAAAATTTTAAATCGGATTGCATTTCGGATAGGCAATGAAAATTTCAGTCGATGAAAAACGCGGTTTTTTCGATTTTCGGCGACTCTTCGGGCAAAAATCTCGATTCTGTCAACAGAACTGAAAAGATCCTAGATAAATACATATATTCAGTGAGTTACTCTATTAGTCAAGTATTACTACCCTGCCAAAAAACGTCACAAATTGAAAAAGATAAAATCCGGGTTTTCCCATTTTCGCTATTTGCGGTTAAACAAATCGCAATTTTGACTATGAAACCTGGAAGAAACACAAAAATACTTACGTTGGTTGAGCTTTCGAGTTAGTCAACTTATGGTATCCTTCTTTGAAAATGTCAAAAGTTTAGGAAAATTGATGAAAACGCGGTTTTTCCGATTTTGCGGGCCTGATTTTGTTAGTGAAACCACAAGGAACGCAAACAAGCACTCATACGAAGTATTCGCGAAATGTTCGTTTCCTAACAAAAAATTCGAAAAAAAAATCAAACCTAGGGACTCCACAAATCTATAAAAAATCAGACTTATGTAGACTGTAGCAATGCAGCTTTGGTGATTTTTTTTAGCAAAATTGCACCCGTGAAAAGCTATTTTTGAAAAAAACACTTTTTTGATGTTAGGGGCCTCTAGGAGCGATATGTCGATCTGAAAAATTGGCTAAGGTGCTTTCGCCCAATGCACCTTCAGCTTGATTGAGCCAAATTTAAATATCTTTGGGTGCAATTCTTATATGTAGTTTTGCCTTTGCCTTTGTACCGAATTACTCCCAACCAACCTTTTGTTTCACGGGTATCCAACAAATGTGGCTATACAAATTTAAGGTTTTTGACCGGGCTAATATTCCAGCATCTGGAAATAGTCAATTTAGTAAACTCATAGTTCATAGTCGCTTGGATCATCGAATTAGGAGACATACCCATTTTGAGCGTTGATGTTACATGATTATTCCTAGATTATTCCAAGTGATCTTGAGCTTCATCAATCAAGATGATGCAACTAGAACAGTCACATAATTTATAGGTCGATAACTATAATTCGGCATTGGGAATAATTGGATCCAACATTCAGTCATTCTGGTTACTACATAATGTGGCTCGTAGCTTCTTAAAGAAAAGAAAATATTGGGTATTTGTACAGCTACAATTACTTATTCTAAGGTGACCAAATAGTGAGTTCCACGACGTCCAAGAAAAAATTGACTTATGTCAAGTGCACTTGTAGTCACGTTGGTCCAGACTACAGATTATCAGAATTGGTATAAAAACAAATCCTCGGCTGGCTCCTTCTACCTAGTCTCAATTTGTTGGGATCGATCTAAACACAAAAGTTACTCAGTAACGTTGACTTTTTACAAGTTTTAAGCAATTTATAAGCGATAGTCCCTAAAAATGTTCATTTTAAATGCTTAAAAGCTGGGTGAAAAATTACTATTTTGCCAGGTATCAAAATCGAAGTTAGATCTATCTCCGAAAAGTATTCCAGGCTTATTTCATTTCAAAGCAATTTCTAATCTCGCTTGATAGGCCTGCAAATGACAAACTTTTGATTTTTGCAGACTGTACATAGATAGCATCCCGGACTGTAGCTGTATCAGGTGGAATCACCGGAAATGAATGTGAATGAGTTTTCCGTCAAACTTCATGTTTATTAACACGCCATAATAAAGCCGTTTCCATAGTACACTCCGTTTGGTCGATGCTACATAAAAGCAGCATAAACTTCAGACCGAAAACTCCCACTATTCAATCCTTCTTTGGAAATGTCTACCATAAAATCTATAATGAACGGCGGTAAGATGCAGAATACCAGATATTGGCTTTAAGTTTATATCTCTATAAAAGGAGACATATAGTCAATTACATCTAATTTATTGAAGCACTTACTTAAATTGTCGTAAGGGTATTGAACTGTATATCTCTGATGTAACGTTATGGCCGCCTGGTAATTGGACTGCCTGGAAATTAGATAAGTGATTCTGTCTCTATGTTCTCGTTGGCACAATAGTAAGACCATGTGCAAAACTAATTCCTTGTTAGATAGTAACTATGCAAGGTGGTCCGAAAAAAATCGCAATATTTGGAGAAATATATCGACAGGTAACCCGTTAAGTTCCTATAAACATGGACCCAAAATTGTCCACCCGACGTGGCGAATGCTGCTGCTACAGCCCTGAATAAATATTCATATATTCTTGAAATCAACTTGTAGCGACACATCAAACGTTTTTCAATGTAGAATGTCACTAATTAATTAAATAATGTGTTCTTGATGCAAAAGGTTTTAGTAGGTACTAAAAATGTTAAATCAAATTTCATCCAAGAGCTTCTCAAGAGGAACAGTTTGTGTGAAATCAAAAGCCTTAGTCAAAAATGCAATGATAGTTGTAGAAGGTCAGTGACGCAAGAAAATATTCGTCTTCTGTCGGTCTGTCTGTCCGCTAATCCTTGCCACGACTATAACTTGGAAAGTATCGGTCGTATTCTGATCAAATTTTCACGTAGTGTTACTGCCATTCCAGCGACAATAAGTCTTTGTTGTTTCTAAATGAGTCTCCTGACAATTTTTGGGAAATTTTTTTGTATGGATTTAAAATGCTGCATCGGAGTTGTAGGGGGTGGGGTGTTGTAAATGTTACATCTTTGGTATCAGTGAAAGACGTTGTATCGTTAAGAATCTTCTAATAATGAAAAAAGTCCGATGAATACTGTGCTCACAGTTTCAAATAATATTTGCGTGCATGTGCTCAAATGTTTATAATCGGGGAGTATTTGGGTATTAGATAAGTCGCTGGAATATCGTGCTCCAACATTTCAGAGCTTCCTACTTTCTTTGATGAAGTTTTTGGGGGGGAATGAAAACTGGGGTTGGAGGCAGTTAGGGGTGAATTAGTGAAAGTTCTTCTAATATTGCTAAACCCGGTATTAAAACGCACATATTTGATCACCCACAAATATAACTGTTTAGTCATTTTGATTTACGGTATATGGGACTTGAGTGAACATACCTAGTTAACGTTGATTCACCTGATTCAATCTACTTGACGTACAGTTTTTTTTTTGTCGTGGAATTGTCATAACTGTCTAAGCTAGTTCCTCGATTTGCTTGCCCCAGGGTTAGTTCGGATTTTTGTGATGTGCGTTGATTAATCTGTTTGTACTACCTCTGAAAGTAGATCTAAATATTTTCGACAATTTCAGCACCCCACTTTGTCAGTAAGGGGGTGCTTTAGGAACCATCTTCGGAAGAAGCTACGGTGTCATTTTTTGTCTTAGAAATATTGTCAATGATTTTAAAAGAACACCTTGTAGCCTAATGGAAACAAGAATTCAATCATTTGTATGTCATTTCGCCTTAGTCCGATCTGACGTCCTTATTGAGAACTTTCAATGTGCTGAAAAGTTTCGAGGTTAAATGACAATAAAACTGATGTTTTAGTTATTAAACTTGATACCGCACTTGAGTTTTTAGTATTTATAAGAAGGTAGGCTTCGTTAAAAAATACTTTACACCACATTACCTTC